TCTCCACTTTTTATAGCCTCTAGCTCAACCCCTTGATATATCCCATCCCCCTGATCAGCAAATAGTAATTATTATACAAATAGAAATTTTAAAACAAAAGTTGTTTGAAGTAATGATTTTTTTGTCAGAAGATGGCAGGTCGGTAGTTATATTTACAGTCTTATTCAGTCAGCAGCGACATGTTGTTCTAGCGGAAAATTTAGCCATTTTAAAAATAATTTGAAAAAAGTTTTAAGCTAACTGTGGATTTTTACAACAAAAAAAACTGTCATCGTTGAAAATATGTATTTTTTTCAACTGTGGTAGCCACATTAAATTTAAATCCTTTTTATTTATCTAGCCTTTCAGCTATACTAAATGAAAATTAACATCAAAATATATCTATATACAATCTATAGAAACAAAACAAGTATAAACAAAAACAAAAATGTTAATTTATTTGTTAATAAGTCCTAAAGCAATAAATGTGTATCAAAATCCTATTTTAAACATAAAATGTTTCTATTTAGAAAATATATTGATTAGCATTAGAAAATATATTGATTAGCATCAGATTGTTTAGTTGCGTATAATGGATAAATATTAACAAAAGAATTAATAAATACTAGAAAATTAATTAATACTAGAAAATGTATAAACAAATACTTGTTTTATCCTGTATACTTAGATTGAAATATAGGTTGACATAAAGTTAGCCCTGAATTTAAGGCATAAATATATATATATAGTATAGTATATATAATGATTAATGATGGTTAATACTACACTACTAGGCTACTAGGCTACCTTTACCCTGTTTTTGCAACCTATACTCGCCGTGTTTTGTCCCCAATGAGGTCATAAATGGAAAAAGTAACGATAACAAATTAAAGGGTAGAACTTGAAAAATGAACATTTGAATCAAAATAACAATGAACACGATCTTTAATACATGATTTATTGATTATATTAGCAACTAAAGTCAACTGCATAATCATTATTTTATATATGTTTATATATTATATATTATATATGTATATATGTATATATGTATCTATATATAGTATCTATAATAAATATGCATTGGACTTTAGCAACATAAATTTTTCATACATATAAATATAAATTTGGCTTGTCTGTCTGTCTCTGTTTGTTTGTTTGTATTCAATAAACTACAAAACGGCTGAACCAATCAGGCCCATATTTTTGTGGCAACTCACACAATCCCAGGGAAGGGTTTGGACGAGAATTTAAAAATGTGTCTAGAAAAATGTATAAATTTATTGCTTTGAACATCTACCACTTTTAACAGAAAAATCTGCGATTAAATTTTTTATGTTTTCAATTTATAACAAAAAAGTTTTTTGAATTTCTAATATGTTACAAAAAAAGAATTTTTAATATGTTACCAAATAAATGAATTTCTAATATGTTACAGAATAGAATTTTTAATATGTTACCAAATAAATGAATTTCTAATATGTTAATTCACGTCTATCATGACGATCCTCAGTAGTTAAAATTCTTTAAACAATATATATATATATAATACACGATGTGCTTCTTTCTTACAAATACGTATAGTGAAAACTGCCTCCACCCTGCATGTTGTAAAATTATTAAGATCTGCTATGTGCGTTTAGAAGAGTATTATAAATGCTATTATTAGTGAGAACCGGAAAAAAGTGGAATTATCATCGTATTTTTTAAAAATTGTAAAATGTAGATAATCACTTTGTAATTTGCAACGAAATTACCAATGAAAACGTACCATGAACAGGCTTATAAGGTATCGTTGTGAATAGATCGCGTACTTAACTCTCTAAATGGTGCAGGGTAAAATTACAATACCATGCTCGAGTTCAATTTATGTGTTCCTTCGGTGAAAAATTCAATTATTTTTGCATTTGCTTGATTAATGTCGGCTCATCAGAAAAATAATTTGTTCTCCACTTTTTGTGATTGTTCTAAATTGTAATATTTAGTAAGTTCTGTCATTTTGTCTCGCCCTGACTGTTTTTTGCATTTTATTGAATAAATCAATAAACTTGGAACAGGTCGAGTGCAGAGAAAGCGAAAACTTTAAACAAATTTCATTTTAAAATTTGATTTTTCTAATACTTTACAGTATTTAACTAGATTAAAGGGCCATGCTGGATTCACAACGGTACCATTGACGTACATTATTCTGGACAATAATGGGGAAACAAATGTCAGGATTTTTTGGTTTGAAAAATGTTTAATTTTGATTATTTATCCATTGGTTCTGAAGTAAGAAATGCACATGTCAATTTTGTAGAGAAAGATATCAGTTTATTAAACCGAATATAGGAATATCCAAACTAATACATCGAAAAATCGATTAACATTTTTCTGGAGAAGATAATTCTCTACTGATATTTGTATTAAGTAACTATTTTTTAATAAATACTTAATACAAATAATAGCAATGTTTTGTAAGAGCTTGCATTCAAACATTTAGTAATTAATTAAATTATGATCTGATTTTTGGTTTTCGAAACTGTGTTTTAATTTTTCTAAAGTTCCTGCTTTTCCTGAAAATATGATGAATTCGGTTGAAATAAATCAGCTGATTCTAAGCCATGCGTTTACCCATCAACAGCTTAATGATAATGTAACTCTAATAACAGGGTTCTGTCACATCATGTAGGTTTCAGAGAGAAGGGTTTATTGTAAAACCCGACCTCACATAGTTTTTTTTTCATATTTAATAACAAATACTCAAATCTTAATCCATCCAAAAGGTTCTAACATATTTTTATAAATATTTATCAACCCCCCCCTTATTGTTCAACCTGCCCTCTAGTCCTAACATGTTGTGCTAAATATCTAACAATAATATTTTTCAAACTCCCCTCTCAGTATCAGGTTGCTCAATATCTAAAACACCCACTTAAAATTTAAAGAATCTATTATCGTGAATATAGATAATTTGGTAACAGTCCGCTGAACTAAATATATCTAAATTTATTCCTATGATGGCAAAATGTATGTATGATATGCAGGAGTGTATATATCACCTAATTTGGCAAGGTGTAATAAGAATATCCTGAGGAAGGTGTTTGGCACAACATTCTGCTGATTGTAAGGTGGGTTGGTGTAAACCTCCCATGTCTCAGCTTTGCCATTTAAAAAAAAAAAAATATTATAGAAACTAAAATATAAACTACATATACTTTTAAACAATGTTAGATTTCAAGCAAAAGTGCATTGACCTAGGATTTATACTTCATCCTTAAAGCTTTATCATAATGTATTACCTCCAC